GGGGGGGGGGGGGGAGACAAGCGCCCGTCCGACGGCAGCAGAGGGCCGGCGAGCGTCCCGGGGCCGCGGCGGGGCGGTATGCGGGACGGATTTTGACAGAGCAACGGCCCTGGCAGGCGCGGGGGCGCGAGGTGGCGGGACGGGCCCCCTTGCGGCCCCTTGGTCCTGCTGCCGGGGCCGCGAGCCCATTCCTGGGTGCGATTTGCCGGCCTTTTCCGGGGCCGCCCATCCTTGTCTCGGCACAGGTGCACCCCGGACCCGGGCGGGTGGAAAACGTCCGGACCGGGAGACCAGAGGTTTTCCCTCGCTCCTGCAGTGTGTGTGTGAGAGAAAGGGAGGGGGGGGGGGGGCTCGCTGTTGCGCCGTGCTTTCGGGCCGCCGGGTGACGCTGGATCAGGTGCGCGGGCGTGCCGCCCGATGGTTGCCCCACCCTGGGGAGGGAGGGGCGGCATTGTGGGCAGAACTGCCACCTGCCGGCCGTCGAGGGGGCCCTGGTCCACAATCCCGCCGCCGTGCGGGGGAATCTCCGCCGGCAGAGCGGCCTCTCACGTTGTACCGGTGGATCTGCTGCGGGCGTTTCACGGGTCCGGCGCCTTGTGCCAAAGGGATGGCCGACTTTGACGGAGGCCATACCGGAAAAATCCGCCATGGGTGAGGGGACCCCGGGCATATATGAGAGGGCACACCGAGCCGGGGAGGGGGATATGCCGTCGCCGACAACGCGCGGGGGGTGGCAACTTGGCCCGGGGCGGGTGAGCGGGCGAAATGCGTGGGATTCGGACTGAAAAAGGCGCCTGGGAGGGGGGGGCCTTGGAACAGGTGCATTTCACGTCCCAAACTGGCACCTTGGGCGATGCTCTCGCGTATACGTGCGTGTGTGTGTGTGTGTGTGTTGCCCGACACACGTCTACCAAGATGCCCCGCTCTGGGGGGGCTCCCGGATGATGGAGGCCTATCGGGCCTTTGTCCGCTCGGCCGGAGGGGCGGGTCGGAGGACGCCAGTCACACGCGCGTATCTCCCCGTACACCCCCGGGCTCGGTGGGCCCTGGCTGCGTCGTCGTTCGTTGCCTTTCCCGCAGAGGGAAGACCTCGAGTGTGGCGTGCCATATCATGGGGGACCGGGCGGGTGATTCGCTTCGGCGAGTTTGGGACTGCGTCGCAGGGAACACAATCGGGCAGTTTTCGTGTATATGTCATGTGTACAGCGCTGTCATGGGACATTCGTTCTGGAGTGATGGTGCTCCCTTCCTTCTGAGATGCGAGTTAATGCTGACCAAGCCGGCTTCTTTGGTGTAAACCGGCGAAAAGATGATGTGTACCTCTCTGGGAGCGCGCGCGCGCGTGTGCCTGGCGGGGAGGATCCTCCGCCGGCCGACGCCGCGCACCTGGCATGCTCCCCAGCGCGGGGGGAGAGACACGCACGCGCACACGGGCGGTCGCGGTGGATGGGGTACCTGGGAATGGGGGGCTTCTAACGGAGAGGGGAGACACACTGGGCCTCGTCTGCGAGCCGGCCAGTCCGGCCTTGCGTGGCCTCGCCCCCCGGGCAAGTGACGTGGGGCGCGCTACTCGCCAGCCGGGGGCCACACTCGGTGGTGCCACAGCCGAGGGGGGGGGGGGGGGGGGCCATCGTCGCAGGGCGGGCCGAGAGGCGCTCGAGAGGGGGCGCTCGGTGCGCACGACACACACACGCCGGTGCATGAGAGCCCTGCGCGAGGCCCCTGATGCGCGTGTCATGGCCGGGGACCCTTTGGTTCACCGAGGGGGGGTCTCCACTGGACGCCGGTGGGAACGCCAGTGAAACGGTCGGCCTTGGGTGCGGGCCCCGGGGGATGACGAATTGAAGGGATGGATGATGTCTCCCTCGGTGCGCCCCTGCCCGGGGTGCCCCTTCGGTTGCGGGGCGGAGCATCTCGACCACGGGGGTATATAAAGGCGGGGGAAGGCAGGAGGGCTGCTGCGCGTCGGCGGGCAGCGGGGGGCGCGAGACGGGCTGGGCGAAAGCAGGGCGCGGCAAGGCAAGAAGCCGGCGTGTCGGGCGGGGGGGGGGGGGGGCCGGGCTTTGCCGACGCGCCGCCGGATGCCGGCAAGCTTGCCGCCTTCCGCGCCTCGGGGGCACGGCTCGCCCGGTGTCTGGTCCGACCGCGGGATGGGCCCGATTCATGCTGTGGGGCTTGAGTCCCCCTCGCTTTGTAATCATACACCGAAACCCCTGATAAGAGTGCGACAGTTGCCGCCCCCGCCCCCCCTCCGGCAGTGCGCCCCGGCTGGCCGCCAGGGGAGGGGGGCTCCTCTGACTCTGGTGGGGAGGCCCTGGCGGGGGTGATGGGGGGGGGGGGGGGATAGTGGCATTCGGAGGGAGCCGCGGCGTGCATGAGCGAAGCCGAAGAAAAGAAGGTCTCCGAGTAGCCCGGGCGGGTGGCGAACCGGTGCAGGGTTCGAGCAACGCCCACAGGGCCCGCCCCCCTTTGAGCCACCGCCGGGCGCGCGCGTGATGCTGTTTCGCCTGAGGCCGAAGGAAAGGGGACCTGCCCGGGAGGCGGGGGGGGGGGGGGCCACCGTACAGGCACGCTGGCCCTTCAGGCCGGAGGCACGCGCGCCGGCACTGGCGGGTCGCCGGGCATTCAAGCGCCTCCCGTGCACATGGAGGGAGAGGGCGCGAGCGGGGCGCGAGCGGGGCGAGCCCAGAAAAGAGGCTCCCCC